TTGAATTGTGTTTGATAATTGTATGGTCGGTCAATCCGTTGTACGGCTAATCATCCAAGACACAATAGTAATTGTTTTCGTTGTGGATAATGGCAAACGGGAAAACGTCATCAGCTGTAAACTGTATTAGTAAATATAGACCGGAAATCGTGAGAGTTTCAAAATAGTATTTTGAAATATTACCGAGTTCCTTCCAATATAAAACCCCTTCCGTTGATGACCTAAGTGCAATTTCTTACTACACGGCGGCCGTTATTCACATTAATTAAGTCCTCGGCGTGTACTTGCGGGTTGCTTCTCTGCAAATTATATGATGTCTTTGAACATCAGTAATAAACGGTGTAAATAATAATACAAAAAAAACAACAATCGGTACTCGGCAAATGTTTGTTATTAAAATTAAAATAAATTAAAAACTTTTATTTGAAATGTATGTATATATGTAGTATTCTTAGAAATAAAATATGTCGCTTTGATTGAAGAAAAAAAAAATCGGCAATACGACTGATACTATTATTATAATACACTGAGAATGATAATTAATCTGTTAAATATTTATCGTTCAAAATCGTACAACGAAAAGAGATTAGTCAAGTCGAATACATTTTTTTTATACACATGTTCTGTTAATAAATCAATAATAATAATCTATTGTAATTAAAATCAAAAACAATATGAAAAAAACATTGTATTTTATTTTTAAGTTTACCAAAAAAAAATTACTTAGTGATTTATATAAATTTCATCATGTTTATGCATCGGTCGTTAACAACAAATGATTTATATGTTTTTAAACTATATTAGTATTTCTTATAAAATATTATTAGTTTAGTAGTGACGTACAAAAAGAATATTTATTTTTTAATGTTTTTTATTACTATTTGAAACCGGACAATGAAATAACGTACGGATATTATTTCTAATCCAAGTTCCTAGTGTTTTGTAAAAGTTAAAACTTGTCTTTTAGTTTTGTCTATAAAGTATATATATATATGGACTATTTTTTTATGGACGGTTCTGCGTATTCCGTATTGTACATTATATTGTCAACGCTGAACTACCTTTGGTCCGTACAATATACCAAGACAAAGGGGTACTAAAAGGAGTTTTACTAAGTTCATTCAATTTACTTGAGTACGACGTATAAACATTTTTATTTTTTTTCATCTTTCAGGTCCTGTATTATCTAATCTATTTTAAGTGAGCTATAGAGACAGATACCTTAAGAGACACCGAGGGCTACCATTGTTGTGTAGTACGCACTCGTGTAGTCGATATCCGTTTTAAACCCTATTCGATTTTTTCCCCGCATTTTAATGATTATTCCAACAATGGCCCATCAAACTTGTACGGCCGTGACGGAATTTCTTTGCGCATTACTTTAGTTACATACAATTTGTTCGGTTTGAAATTACCCGGAAAACGTTTACCTAGGTATTGGTGTACTAATTCAAGTAACAGTCGTCCAGTGGGGAGGGGGCAAAGTTGGTCATTCGCTATAACCAAAAGGTTTTTGCCATTCCAGGCCAGTGGATTTATATTTAGATACAAATTCATTCGGTTAACCCGCAGTGTACATTAAGATTATTAAAAATAACAGGCAACAATGTCTCAGGAAGTTCAAAAAAGAACTATGCGAATGGAATTCGAATTGTTTTTAAAGTTTCATTCTTCTGACAGTGCATCTGACCAATAAAGGATCAGCTAAATTCCACATGATTACAACACTATTACAATGAGAGTGTCAAGCGTTTTACCAAGCAAACAAAAACACCTAAGACTTAAGTATTACTTAAGACTTAAGTATTATATTCTAAGCGATTGCATTAAATGAAATGAAATGTTAACATGTAAAAACCGTACTTTTATTTAGTTTACCTCGTTTCGCGCGTCGCGAAAGTACTATAACGAGCAGTTTTCATTATTCACAGCTGTGGGCGTTTATTAATATTTTATTATAATTCTAAAACATTGTTCTCGTTATCCGACGACTTGTACTTACACTTTTGATCAAACTTCTTACGAACAAACTTGTTTTATGGCGAAGAGACACTGCCGCCAATTTTGGTTAAGTTCATAGAAATTCGTTAATATTCATATAGTATGACATTTTTGTTATTACTTATAAAACATTTTTATGTTTTATTAAACTTGACAAGAACAGGTACTTAAATTCAGAGTTTTCAAATAATAGAAATTTTAAAATTATCATACAATTTTAACGAAAAGTAAAAATTATTATTATTTGTGTTTGTTCTTTTCATTGCTTTTAACGACTTGTAGTTACAAGTAATTTTACAAACACAGGAAAACGGTTTTAAGTAAAAACGTTTGTTTTTTAAAAGCTAATACATTGAAATATGTAAATTCAATTTTTTTATGGTATAGATGACATGCCTGAGGATACCCACTTTTTAAAACCAATATCCTCTGTTATTATTTTCCATTATAAAAGTTAATTTAATAGCTTTGTGTATTTTATTATCGGTAGACGAAACAATTTATTTTAAGGGAAATTTTTTAAATTTTTTTTAACCAACAAACAAGATCATTGCTATTGCATCTGAAGAACTACTAAGCATAAGTACAAAGTCACATATTCACATGACTTTTGTGAACTTGAAACGATAAAAATAGCGTTAAAAGTGTTTTGACCATTGGGTATTGTAAATGTGTCCTTTGTCTATTAACGGAACATAAATTATATTTGATTCCATTTAGATTCGAACAAAGGGACACAAGGCCAACGACTTTGACAATCAGGCACGTGCCTCGCAACATCAATAATTTTCAGTTGACATTTTTGGTGCCTTAAATGACATCGTTTCCCGAATAATTGGACGGATTTCCGTTAAAAAATGATGCAAATTATTTTAGGGTCATACTACAATTTTTTAGGAAATTTTCCACCTGATCATCAAACTGGCAGTACCGTCACTCACATAAATTATAATTGGTTATCAAAAAATCGTCAAACCCGTTTGGTAATATGTCGATACAGGCGTTTTTTGTTTGCTCAAAAGGACGCAAGTACATTTTTTTCGAATAAATATGGTTATATTTCATTTGAAATCGCATGAGAAAAATATAAAAACAAAAATATGAACAAGTTTTAAACGCCTGTAAAATCACTGGAGGGAATAGTGTATGGAGTCAAAATTACAAGTGACTAAAAAATAACCGTTTTTGTGTATCTTAAAAAAAAAAATCCAAAAGTGTCTCGAATCTCTTTTTGTTGACCAAAATATACACAATACAACAAGATTATATTTGTCTTTTTTATTTTTTGTATTCATTTTTCCCAAGGCTATAAATATTCAACAAAGACTATTTATATGAAAAAAATTACTCTTTTTTTCACTTCCAACAATGTACGCTTAATTATTGACACTTTATTAAAGAGAATTCAAACTTTAAAAACTTGACGCATAAATAAATAATAATCTAACCAAGTTACTCGGGCGCTAATTTTCGATAGTTATTAGTGAAGAAAATTGTGATTTATAAGAACATACAAATTCTTTGGCAACTTTACTAGGTCATGTAGAAAACGGATTTTTGAGATTTTCCTTTTGTTATGTAAAAAAATTGGATTTTAATATTGAAAAAATTGCAAAATGAATTAATTTAATTGCAAGAAACTCAAATCTCTTTACAGAATTGAAACTGGACCACAAATTAGACGGAAAATTAACATAGTCGGAAATTTATTAAAACTATATTGCCCTTACAAAACTGCATGACTGCATGCAATCCACAGATACCTACTCAGGGAAACCTAGCGATAACCTTATACTGTTTTTGGGCAACACATTTTTTTTTTTTGCAGAAAACTCTTAGCAGAAAAACACTTTGCGTTTCCGGCCTACATCGGTACCGACCGTGTTTCCGCGTAAGTATGTACATATATATATATTTTTTTTATAAAAATATATACTCACACGCAAAACTAGGCATGTGTTATCGCACTTCACGTGTGCATAATATTAAGCCATATATTATTCAAGGTGGCTGTGCTTTATTCGACTGCGCGTGTATGTACCGTGTATGTATGTATGTGTATAAGTATAACAAAAGCTTGCCATTAAACTCGGATTGAGACAGAGCGGAGAGCCGTCGAGTGGCTGTTGAAATGCACAGAATTTATGGTTTTTAATAACGTGGAGAGCGCGTCAGGTGCGCGAGGGGAAATATTTCCTTTACCTGACATTTGCGAAAGCCCTGTAACCTGCCCGCCCCTCCCCTCCCCACTAGTTTGTTCGTTTAAAGGTAGTCGTAGTGTATTTCTTCAACGGAAAGCCAGACCAGGGCGGCGGACCGACGGAAGAATTGTCTGAGAATAATAATAATAATAAAGCAAAGGAAAAAAAAAGTGGCCTAGATGGGGCACCGAAAAGTTTTCATTTCCTATTGTAATAAGAAATTACGGGTCCGAGAAGGGGACTTTATTATATATTAAATTCGTCTCTAAGTTAGATTTTTTCGTCGTTGGACAATACAGACAACACTTCGCATCGTTCTGAGCGAAAATTAATTATTATGTAAACACCGCCATCGTTTCCTAGTATTGCAGATTTACCTACTGAGAAATTCAGACAAACAACGTGGTTTCTTAGCATTTTGAAAAAAAATCAAATATTTAAACGGGCTCTCGAAGAAGATTTCTTCTTTGAGATAATTTTGTAAATTTTTCAATAAAATATTACAACCAAAGTTTCGAGAAAAAATCACACTCAAATATGTAATATAAATAACAGAAATATAAATTTGTTTTTTTTTCAAATTCAAGTGAATTGGTCATTTTTTTAAGGTTAGCTTTGGCAGCACTTGCTTCATTTACTCGGCTGAAGCAATAGCTAAAAAAATATGTATAATGCCATTTTTCAGTGAAGTATTTTTAAAATGTTTTATTGCTATAGAATATGCGTATAATAAGTGACACAGCTTATCGACACACTATCTAATATGTTACATTGTAATAACCTTGTTAAATTACTTACTGAAATGTTTTGATAGTCTTTTCGATTGGACTTCATCGTTGCCCAAATCGTTGCCGCCACGATGAGATTTGTCTCTGTAAATGAAACAAACAGAATACTATCTCAATAAAATATTTTAAAACGAACAGCCGTCCACGAAAAACTGTAATAAAATTTGTTTTTGATTTTTGTATTGATCACGATATGGATTTTTACATATTTTTTGCTGTGAATCTGGTCATATATCATAAACATACAACTCTATACTCAACGGTTTTTACCGTCCTTAAAAAATCGTTTTTATACTTAAACAAATATTTGCAATTTATAGAAAAATTGTATTTTTTTTACAGCATCTAGTTATGAAAACAGAAAAATAGTGGAAACACTAGTAAAAAAAAAAGTTATAGACGTTGAACGTTATAAATTATAATATTAAAACATTCATAATCATATTAATTTTGTTATTAGCGTCTATATTCATTAAGAGCTAAAAAAATTGTTAATTGGAAGGTATTAGCTATGTAAATTATGCTTATCGCTCTAATTAAAGAACGATAATGGTCGGACACGTTAAATTACACGAGCGTCTATTATATGTATATTTTACAGGGAATGTTTCTTTTCCTCTGCTAAAAATTTTTGCTTTTAGTATTTTTTTTTTTTTAGTGAGATAAAACTTCTAATCACCGGTGCTGTTATTTTTTTGTTGGTCCTCTCATCGCGTTTAGTCTTGGCAGTTATTTAAATCAAATTAAAATAATCCTTAAAAATAATAATGTACATAAACAAAAACTAAAATATCAAGTACAATTTTATTTGTGTTTAATAGTTATAAAATATATTTATTCTTCTCGAGATTTATTGCACTCGACGTCTTAACATTTTCACAGTTTATGTGATCGACTGCATTCCTATATGTTAGTAATTTCAGCTCCTTAGCTCACAATTTTTAGAAGCTATTCGACTCTGTCAAAACGTATAAGGTAAAATAGTTTTTGAAAACAATAATTAATTTTGATGTAAAAAATGTGCATAGTAGAAAAACTTCTGGAGTTCAAATTTAACACCGGTGATGTAATTTCAACATAATATAATATATTGTATTCAAATAATCCAGGTCGATGTGTCAAGGAAATACACTGTATCTATTTGTAGCTGTATGTTTTTAGTATTTCTTGTAGTAGGTACCCGGGAATTATGGCAGTGACAAAAGTATTCAACGACAAGGTTACATTTTTATTATACTACATAAATAATGCACAAGTAACTCTACCAGGAACACTCAGATTGGTTCATACATATCATGTCAAGTCTCAAGACATTTCGCAGTAATTTTGTGAATTTTAGTTTTGCGTAATATGTTTAAAAGTACATACATATATATTATGTCTGTAACGTCATGAGTTCTACTCGATAGAATAAGTATATAAGAAAAACAGTTTCTTTCTTAAAATGATGTCTGTTACTTCTGTATTAAAGTGTGTAAAAACAGACAAATGTTTTTCGTCTCTCAGATTTAATGTTTTCAAAATGACTCGTTAAATATATTAATTGTCAATATAATTACCAAATTTTAAAAAAACCCACACAAAGTGAATTTGTAAAACATGCTCATACCTTTAAGGGATCGCATCATTTTTGACTGATCATTATTAGAAACATTTTTTATCTAGATAAAGCAATAAATATTACAACCATATTATTAACAACCATTATTTATTTCCCCCTGTGGGGTCGGGGATTAGAATAGACCCACAGTAACTCCTGCTTATCGTAGAAGGCGATTAAAAGGAGGTAGCGGAGGGCAGCAGTAACCGCTACTACCGACCATTGGCGAGTTTTACAGCAGAACTAACGGCAATGGAAGGATTTGACAGAGGCAATTTGGGCATATTCCAAACACTGGCCTGTCAACTGCGATGTGGAAGGAGAAGGATACCACCACATTAGAACTCCTAGTAAGCAATATGAACCGAAATTATGAAGAAATTTTGGAAAATTGCAAAACCAACCTTAGGGTTGATCACAAAAAAAAAAAAAGCAATAAATAAAAAAATTATATTTATTTTTTGTTCGGTAGAATTATTTATTTCTTATTTGTTTGAATGCATAATTATTTTAAGTCATTTTTTTTTTTAATTTCTATCACTTTTTAAAATATTATACAAAATTTGTATAAATATAAAGCTTGGTAAACCGTATTTATATAACATTTAAAGATGTATAATATTGTTACAAAATAAATTTAAAACTGTATTGATTACCAAAACGAAAACTATACTATATATTTTATTTGAATTAATGGCATTGCTTGTATAAAATATACTGACCTTATTTTGGGTTTGATGAGCTCCGAGTCCAGTTCTGCTATCCTGAATACCGTACACTGATCAGAAACCGCCGTTGAGTCTGGTACGACAATTAGTTGTATCAGATCAGCCTTAAAAACGACAATCAACGATTATTATTGTTATGATATAATATTTAAACCACACAATAGTCGATGGCATAGTGTACAGATATGTTTTCTATCTTAACAATTTAGGGTGTTCCGAATTAAAAAAAAAAAAAAAATTATCTACTAACAAAAAAAAAAGTATAGTCAAATACTGTTTATTATCTTTCGAATGTTCATAAAAAATAGTTTCTTCGTGTAAAGATTCAATTACAATAATTCTTTTACTTGCAAGCATAATTTTAGGAAAATTTGGTAAAACTTTTTCAAAACACGGTTTACAAATAGAAACAGTTTTTAACACAGTTTTGACACAGCAAACTATTTTTAGAAAGTCATCAGAACGATTTTTTGACACTTTAAAAATGTTTCTATTATTTTAATATTTGAATTTGGACAGCAAATTAATGTTTTACTAGTATTGTTTACAAAATAAAATGTAATAGACATATTTTAATTATTATCGACGTTTTAAATGTTAAAAAACACTCTGATGATGATTTCTGTTATAGAGATCAAACGATCTAGCTCCGAGTCGACTTCGGGAAAATTCATTTAGGGGATGCATTCGTAGAAAAAGGGTTGAGTGTGTAAATTATTTCCACAGAAATAATAAAATAACGATTTTTCTACAATATAGCTGATAATACAGTTAACTGGGCAACTGTCCCTCGGTAATTTTTTTTTTTTAATTTAAAACACTACCCCTATACGAGTTCCATTACAGTAATTATTCGGAATTCAAGAACATGTTGTCTGGAGTGGACGTTTTTTTAACAAACTTGACAGCTTTGCTCTTTGTAATGTAATGGAAATTCCGAAATTACCTTTTCACTCATTTTAATTGTCACTTTTATTTGTTAACGGTAAAATAATTGCAGCGTTCGAAGCTCTCCTAGAACATATTATTGTTATTATTGTGTTCGGTTTTTTTTGTTTGTTTTTCTAATTGCATTATTATAGGCCAATTGCCGGGTCCGTATTTTATGTGGGCATTGTGCGGAAATAAAATATCTGCAGCTTTCGACGATTTATAAACGTTCGGTGATTATTATTGCTATGCGATAAAACCATGGCGGTACTATAACGTCCGTGACAATTAATCTCCGGCAGCGTCAGAATCCGTTTCAATGGGCTGTATCTATTGTTTTGTTGACCACGCGCCCTGACCTCGCCAAAGCCGATAATAAGTATTTATGGGGTTTTCACTTTTTACCCCGATGTGCTCAAAACACTATAGGCTAGGCCGCGGATGACAATGGGGATGATTTTTTTATTTTCGCTAAAAACAGTTTATTGCATAATATGAATCCGTACAAAACGGCCGTAATATTAATTTCTAGCAACATGTTTTATTAACGTGTCGATCCGAGTTTATTGTGAAATTGATAAATAACATAGACAAAATCGGTATCTAGCGTGACGTAAGTATCAGTGTGTTATGTAAAAAATGTTAACAATACCGTTAGCGATTCTTCAAAAACGTCCGTGTCGTACTCAGGCGAAGGGGCAAATGAATTTTCCATCAACGTCTCGGTAGTCACCCATCGACAATCCATATATGCAATAACCTCATCGTCTTGAAAACTAAAAAATTACATACATTACATATTTTGATAAGTTAATTTCTGTTTTTAACGTACACAAAACTCTAATATAAATAGCGATTGTCAATTATTTAGAATGATTCGCAGCGAAAAATGGTAATATATTGTAACACAATTTTGAGCCCAACAAGCTAATAATCTCAATATTAACAGTATTTTATGATTTTTTTGTGTTTCTTCAAATAATCAACTAGTTTTTCTTTTGGCTGTTTAAAGATAAATAGCAGGAAATTGTGTTTTTTTTTAAATGGGCTTTGCGCTTTTCACTTATACCTACATCATATTTTTAATTACATGTATTAAAAAATGCAAGAGTGTTTTCTTTAACAGAATATTAACACGATTGAACTGATGACCGAATTATAAAAAAATATACTGCGATTTTATGTACCTAATATGATTTTTTAATTGATTTACAATCACAATCACTGAACGATATAAAACGTATAAATTGAAACAAAAAAAAAATTGCTCACCCCAAACCCAGCTGATGAGTAACACCATCGGCTAGAACTGCGGCGATCAGCACCGACCTGTTGGATTGTTGAGTGTTGACCGACACTCGTAGTAGATCTGGCCCACTGACTTCGAGTATGACGGTCTTGGTTGGACCAGCCGTCGAAGACAAATGGAACACTGTGCCAAAATCAACCTGTAAGTTAAATTGTTTGATATTTAATACACCGTGAAGCAATAACAGGGAAGAAACGTTTGACATAGAAATTTGCAAGGGATATTGTAAAAAGTTGGAAGCTATTCAGCTGCAAGTGATTATTAGGACCGGTATCAAACGAGACTGATATTATTCAAAGGGAGTAGTTACAAGGTGGTTATTTAGGTGAGTGACCTAACCTAACCTAACCATTATGATTATTCCAATTAAATAATCTATCCTAGCTAGTAATAATTACTTTTCCTAAAAATTATTCAAAATGCTTGTTACTCTAAGTAATTTTTCTTTATCGAAAAATACATTGTCTACATTAATATTATTTTTGAATAAATTGATTACAAATAAATACTTTTCCAAAAGAACAGTACTGAAATAACAACACTCCCAACAAAATTTATATTTTGGTGTCATGTTTATTTTCCAAATTGTCTACGTTGTGTATTCCAATGTATCTAATTCTTAGGTAAAATCTTGTAAGCGCTTTTCACTCCTTAATCTAACCTAACCCCTCTCCATCATCTTTAAATGTAGATACATTGGTTGACTTCCAATAATTGTATTATGGATACTTTTGTAGGCATCCGCATCCAGCTAAATACAGCATAATACATTTATATGTAATTTCAGTTGCATAACGTACTCCTTAAAGCAAAGCGTTGATTGGTTCAATGTAGCGGCATCGTGGTGCTAATAATGACTATAATGATAGAAGGTTCTATCTAAGTAATTATTATAATTTGTACATTATAGATATTTAAGATTCTGTTTAATTTTACATGCAATTTAGCATTTGATATTGTATAAATGATTTTCGATCATGTTTGCTTTTATAAGTACTAAACAATGTTGTGTTGTACATTTTCCAGTAAAAATTATAAACAATAATAATCATACTTAAACGGGGTTTTTATGTTTTGCATAAATCATAATAGAATTGATAACTGATAATTGAATAATTTCTTCAATAATTAAATCTTTACACGAGTAAACTTATTGAAAAATGTAGTATCTATGTCTGATTTTGACTAAACCCATTAAAATTAATACTCTATTGTTATTTCACCGTAAATTAGTTTTTTACACTCTTTTTTTGTTTATTTAATACTTAATTAAAATAAATAAAATTCTTATAGTATATTCTTTTACCCAATATTTGATTTAATAATTGTGCACTAAATTATTACTAAATTTGGCTTTTGCCGTTTTGTCGAAAAATATTAATTTATACTACAAAGAAAATGTTATTTGCATCTTAAATTTTTCTTTTATACATTATAAATTATTTCAGAACTGTTTAATAAAAATATAGTTTTTAATAAAATTGATAACTGCATTGGAATTCGTAACGATGCTTAAATATAGTTGATTTAGCTGTGGAAATCGTCTGGCCCATTAGCTCAGTTGGTTAGAGCGTCGTGCTAATAACGCGAAGGTCGTGGGTTCGATCCCCCCATGGGCCAAGTACTTTTTGTTTTTTTTTCCTGTTTTTCTTCCTGTATACTTAATACAATTGTATTATTGTTTCGGGGGTATGAGGGGGGCAATTTTATTTTGTCAAAATAGCTTCAATACTACTAATAATCACTGGAATAACTTTTTAAGTTCACTGCAAAGATGTTTAAAAATGCTTGGATAAAAAAGTTTAGGAAATTTCATACATCAATAAGATTTTCTATTTAAACGAACTTGTTAACTTTAAAAATCACAAATTTACAAAAAAAATATCTCGTCTACATTTTTGTGTTTTTATAGTAAATACATAGTTTATTTCAATTATTTATATATTAAGAGGACGCCACACCGGCCATTTCTAAGAAGTAAAGTATAGGCAATTTATAGGATAAAATACAATTTTTTTGACATCAAAACTGCTTTCATCAGAACTGCGCGGATTAATTTTTCTCAGACTTCATATATAATTAAGGAAAGAAATTCATACATATTATTTATGAGAAAATTATCTGTGTTCCATCATTCGTATTTTTTCGATATACCAAATACAACCAACGCTATATCATTTTTAAAAAAGTAAAAAAAGTCCTTTCTTAATTAATTATTCATTAACTGGTTGAAATATTAAAAAAAGGGCGATGGTAGAACACAGACAATGTTGTTGTCTATATTATGTAAACATTTGGTTTTTTAGTTTTGATTATAGCCTCTGTAAAATTAGTCCGCGCAAGGCGGATTTTTTGAAGAAAATAACGGGTGTGTGATGTCTTCTTAAAGTTATTTACAAAAAAACGGGGTTTCATTATATAACTGATTAGGACTGATAAAAAAAAAATGGACAGATATTTTAATTTTTAATCATAAATTATTAAATAAATGTACACTATAGTTACTTAAAATACAGAATAACATTTCTTTAAAAAATAATTAGGTTTTTATTTATTTATGACTATTTCGTTAAGCTATATTTCAAATGATTAGAACAAATAACTGGTACAGGTGACATTTTTCTCACAAATGAGTTTTTGATCTAATCATATTTTTCAATGATATCTTTATGCTATGCTTGTTTTACAATTTTTGAAGGAGTTATTAAAAACATTATTGAACATTGCCCATAAGAACACATTAAAAAAACAGTTTTTATTTTATTCACCAGTCTTCAATACAATTATTCATAAAATTAGTAGGTAGTTTCTTTTGATAGTAATACTTAAGTTTTGAGTAAATTGGTGTTAAACTTAATACAAATGTGTACAAGTAAAGGAAGAAGATTGATTTATAGTGTTTACAGTAGATAAATATTTGGTAAAACTCAAAATAGATACAATTGAAAACGGCTTTGTTGTTTATACTGTGATTATGTTATGATAATATGACGTTTTTAATTTAAAGTTACATTTTTTTTTAGAAAAAAACTGTTCAGTAACCGTACTTTGTACTATTATGTTGTGTGCATGTTGTTAACATAAAATTATGTTTCTACAGCATTGTGACATAATAACGTGGTTATACATATTGTATGAGCTGTTTACGGATTGGATTATGGCAACAAGGCGTAATTTGGTTTGTAGCTTAAACCCACGAATAATAAATAAAAAATGATACCCTGCTTAAACGAGTTGCCTGGTTGGGTATAAAAAAACCCGAGTATACAAGCTATGCTACAGTTGTGCTGATAAAAAATTACCGATGCATAAAATTATTTAGTAGATTACACATTATTACTATTATTATACCGAATAAAAAGCTTGTTCCTTAACGCCTTTTTTTTTACACGCCAGATCTTATGTCAAAGCGTGGTTATCATGGACACGGTAAGCTCTTCGGTTAACAACTTTCATTCTGTCAAGTGGCACGTGCTTTAACGGAAACGGCACATTCGTTATAATTTATACTTCCCAGGAGTAAAAAAATAGAGGTATATTATATTATATAGTATACTTAACAAAACCCCTTTCGTTTAATGACCGTTGTTACTTGTTATGTTATACGCCTAGTTGAGTTATAGGTTAGGTTTTACAAGGGATTATTTTTTTATTCCTCATATTATATTTCGCATAATATGTTTAAAACAACATGCTACTTCCAAAAGCAAGTTTTGAATTTTACTTACTAGAAAATAATATCAACGACAATTACAACCGCTTGCTTAAGGTCGTTTCACAAAATCAATTGTTTTACAAACAGAAACCCTTTTAAACGGTAAACACATAATAATAGTCGAATCTTTAATAATATTGTTTACCAAATGTTGAATAGTAAACGCAATCATTCCAAAAAAAATCGTTCTGAAATCGTAACCGAAATTCAAATAGTATATTTGTTTTTAAATGGAAACAAAATTTAACATTAAGAAACTCTTAAAGACGAAATCAGCTGATAAGAGAAATAATAGTGATAAGGGACGACAAATTGATAAGAGATATGATAATAATGACAAGAAGGCTTATTTTGAAAGGTCAAGTCCTCTTTATCTAGATTACTTATAACTATAGTCTACAACAACTACAAAAAAGAAAATCTTTATCAGCTACTTTTACACAGCTCTAAAGAGTCTTCATTTAAAAAAAAAATGATAATCATAATATCCAATGTTTTAGGAGAGACATTGGATATATTTTATTATACTACATAATTTATGTGCAGTCATTTTATAACAAGTTGAATGATCAGTAGGCCGGACAATAAGTCTAGATTCGTAGAGAGGGTTAGTTATGGTCACTGGGTCATGACGATTGTGTAACCAGAGATATTTCAGGACTAACGGTGAAATTATTAGCGGTTTTTATTTTTATGTGGGTTGGGGGAGGGTGGCCCAAACGATACCCGTTAAATGGGTCGTAATTTTTTTATTTACACTAGACGATACACTGGGGAAAAATATACTGGTTTGATCAAGTTGAAAAAATTCGAATTCGGTTGTTAATAGAAACTTAATTGTTCCACGAAGGCTCGGAAAAGGTTCGCTATTTTTTCGGTCGTTTTTTTTACATTTCCAAAGAAAGTAGTCCTGCGGCGATTTTATGATGGCCGATCCCTCGGAAGTCGTATTGCCCGGTCGATTCGTCCCGAAAACAATAAAACGGAATTACTGTTATTTTTTAATGCCATTCCTACTTTTACTGCGTCCCGGACGAGCTTTCGATAAGTGAAAAAAAAAACAATATTAATATTGTACAGCAGCTACAACTACGGTAATAATTATTGCAATAAAAACTAATATCAAGTTGCCAAAAATGAGAACTAGAAAAAAATAGAACACTATTATTATTGTTTTAGAGGTTAAACGCATTCGGTATAAAATCAAGTGGTATGCACAGACAAAACATAGTATAAAAACTATAGGGATTGTGCAAGTATTAACCTGTTAAACTTAATTCGTTTTCAATGAATGGTTCAATTTTTCTTGACAGTCGAATTATAATAAAAAAGAATTAACCAATAATAGTTTTCTTGGAACATATATTTTTTTTAATTTGATGAAAACATATATATATATAACGTACCTCCTATGAGCTATATAAAAAAAAACATTACTTTAGATTCGAACTTACTTTGGGCAGTACTCTGAGGCTAACTATTAGAGAAAACGTGTCAGGAAAACTTGTTCTACTTGGTAGGCTCAACCCTCTGTGGAGACCTTCGAGATTGCCACCGACAGTGCGCACGTTGTCTCCTGGCGCTACGAGCTCCATGGCGCCTTTAGGAAGTTTAAGACAATTATTAACTTTGAATTCAAAACTGCCAATACAACAACCATTAATCATTTACTTACCGTTGCACGGGAAGTCGTTGCACTTTCTTAATTCCTTGTTGTGCCCCTGTCCGCATTTCAGGCATCGCCTCTGTCTGAACTGTAAGCCGGTGTTGCACGAAACGTTGCATGCAGACCAATCACTCCAATCGCCCCAACCTAAACACAACAGAGGATAATTAAAAGTTAAGACTTGCTCACACAAAAAACAGTTGGATGAACTGAATAGAGTTGGTTATTTGTCAATCGAATGATTATATCATTCAAATTAGGTACAGATTATAGTGGTCGATCCAATTATCTATAATTGTTTTATCACAATGTAAACTGTACTTAGTTCTAAATAAATAAGTGCTTATATTGTACAGAATGATTTTGGAACAAGAACCAAAATATATAGCTACATCATATAGAATTTTTTCAATGAACCCGAATCTGACTTCAGGATTTTTCTAGCTCGTCAAGTTATTATTTTAACTACCTCCAAAGTTACAGGCAATTTTTTAATACATTTGTTCGTTTAAAGAATATTGAAAATGCTACATTAACTGTTCATTAAAGTAGTTTTGATTTTAGCAAAAAAAAACTATATATTATAAAATTCTATTTCAGATACAGATTAGAAAATTATTAAAAACGTCTCAAAAATATCACAAAATGTTTTTTTTTTTAAACTTGCGTTGCGATTCGAAAAGCAACTAAACGCGCTAGACAAAGTTTTAGTACCAGATTTAGAATTAGATGGATAAATCCTAAAAATATTTGTATTATGATTTTACTTCTAAAGCTAGGTAGAATTTAGTTGTAGCATATTATTAATTTCAATATACTTATAAACAAAATGATGTTGTTAATGAAAGATTAACTGTACAATTAATAATGTTAAAAACAGTTTAATACATAAATTAATGGAAAAAATAAACAATAATAAATTTAAAGTGAAATTGAATTCATTTACTTTACTGGCATTTTTTAATTAAGTAACAAATAATTAATGGAACAAATTAAGTGTAGCACTTATGTCGATTTTTTTCTTCTCAAAACGTGTTCTCTTTACCCAAAATCATAAAGTGCAGTCAGAACTGGCCTATTGTACTAACTTTTAATTTGTAGTAAAAAATTAAAACCAAATCATTTTTTTAAATCCTCTTCGGGTTGAAATTGATAAAAACCGTATTTTTACAATATTTTTATTTTTATAAATCTTTAAACCTTTTTACAATGAAAACGACGGTAATACAAAAAATACAGCTTGATCTTTTCGAGGAAACATTTTTTTACTCAGTTTTGTATTGCAAATATTTTAGTGAAATCAGAATTTACCTACAATATTTACTTTTTCAGTTTTCGATCATCAAACCGAATCGGTTAAACATTGAAAAAAAAATCGCACGGTTGTTTAATCAACTGGTTTGTCTACAAACAACAGTTTGTTCAACATACAAAACTGACTTGACATTTGTTTGATAAAAGTACTAGTATAGGATTAGTACCAATCGGTTAACGGTCGATTGGTTTAAATGCATTACCCTGAAGGTGACCTTAGCAATTACAACCGTTTGGAGATAAACAAGTTAATATTTGCGAAACAACACAGCCAAAGAAAACAGCACCTAATTTGCAGAAACTTGCACTCGGCTCGTTTCAATTACTCGCAGCGCTCAAATGTAAACAGTACTTTTGATTACTTAAAATTTCAACACACATCGTTCAAACATCGTGATATTTTTTAGGATAATATAAAAAAAAAAAACAAATTTTTCAGAAGTATTACTCCTGAACACTGCAATAGACTTAAATAAATAAATCAGTTATAGCGAATCTCATACCTCTGTCAATTGAATTGTATAATGTCTACGATAGAATGTTATTGATTTTATCTTGCCAATTATCTACATAACAATAACCCACTTACTACATTTTTATTTTTATTTTTAACAATTAATCCTTCAATATATTTTTATTCTGCAGTTAATTACCTATTGAGCTAACAAAATAAACAAAAATAGTTGTTTGTTGCGTATAACGCCGGGTCTTTGTTTATTATTCTTGTTGCAACCCGAACCAATTACAAAGTCAGTTTTGTTTGATTTAGCGACTGTTATTTATTTTATAATGATGACTTTGTTGTGTTTTTTTTTTTCATAATTTTCTATAGAAACTAAGTACTTGTTTGAAACTTTACACAGCAGTTTGTCTTAAGAAGTGAAGCCCGGAAGCGCAATCAACAAATTCTGCTTAAACTCAAAAGTGCAATACCATGAAATAGTTATTGTGGTATTTGTCTATGGCAAATTAATATTAATTTGACCTTACTAGTTACCGCAGAGTTTTGTTTATATTATTCAATGTATTTTCTATATTCTAAGAAGGTGTTTTATATTTTCTATAAATGGTACGAAAATTAATTCTATGTATTGAGTAATAAAAGGTCAATCTCAACTTATGAAAATTGAGCTTTGACGTTTTTATATTCCAAAAGGCGTTCATTTATTATTTTTTTTACAAAACTTTTTCAATTATTGTTCTGACAGTGTCGTTTTTTGCAAAACATAAAAAAAGTATTATAGTGTTTTTTTTTGTTGTAAATTTAAACCCAAAAGTTATGATATCTTTTTATGTATTTTTTGGGCGTTCTTTTCGATTTTTAATGAAGTGAAATGATCCATTTTAACATTGAACGAAAACAATTTATTTTTAATACAACAATATTTCAGTTGTATTTATTGAATTTCTAGAATTTTTTTTTGCTTGTTACTCATATATTAAGTGGTTTGCAATTGACATTTAGTAATTAAATACTATAAAATACAATTATGTCGTTAGTAATTTGCCTAACATAACCCTTCTCGAGAGGTGTAAATGTTTTTTTAAACTTTTTGTTACACAATAACAGTCATCTGCTCGTGCACGAGTTCTTGCTTGAGACAACGCTAAAGATGGTAAAAAAAACCGGATCCGTAAACTGATGTACTTACATACTTTTGACTCTTAGGGGGGGGGACCTCTATTCGTACCTATATTATTATGATGGGCAATGCGGAAAAAAATATATAGTATTATTATTCGATTGGCGGTGTACAAACAACGCCAGTAAAGGCCAAAACGGTTATAATATTTTGTCCTGGACGAGACAAAAACATACATAATATCTTGAGAAATGGAAAACAATACATGAAGGAATATCAATTCCCAGCTCTATTGGCCCGTTACATTATGGTCTGTAAAAAAAAACCCCAATACATTGCAGACATTTTGCGGTACACACAAGATGATCATTTGGGAGTATATATATATTTTTTATTTGTCCCCCGACGAGTATAAATTTTGCCCTCACACTCGCGCATTGACAAACCGTATATTTTTCAACGTTTTTTTTTTTTTGACAGACCGTCCCCGCGGTAGTGAAGGAATTTTCAAATATCGCACTACTCTTAGGTGAAAAAAAAAACGGTTTTCCTGTTATTTTACGTTTCGAAATTCGCAGAAAAATATAATACTTAAGCGGATCCGTTAGAGCCGCCGACGGGTGTTTTCCGCATATTTTTACTTAATCGATCAACCGAGGTATGTTTGGGGTTTTTTTTTATGTAACCGGAGTACAATAAACGGAAGAAAACGTTGTGAGCATCTTGAGACGGTGTTTTATTTATGTAGAAATAATTTTTCACTCAAGTCCGCCCACACCGCACCGCTCTACTTAAGTTGGCTACTACGTAAAGAAGATATAATCATATGTACTTATAATTTTTTAACATAAAAAAAAACCGACTTGGTATGTTTCTAATAAAACTCTGCATTCTGATCTCCAAACCAGTTATGTGAACGATATGGCCAAAACTGCTTACCAAAAACTTCATAATAAATTCATCTCTCACCCTAACCCTAATATACACTACCTCTAGTCTAATCATATCCCTGATAATCCGTCAAGAAGATTAAAAAGGAAATGGTGTAGATTATAGGTATCTCCTATAAATCAAAAAAAAAAAAATTAAAAAGAATTAGTAGATAAACTAACTCAAAATTCAAAGTAGGTAGCTCCATTGAGCGCCCCCCTACTGCATGTTATTCAAGCTATATTATTATTTTTTTTTTACTGTTTACCTATTTACTGTTGTGCATATATTTTGTATAGATGTAAATATTCAATATAATAAAGAAATGTAACGTAAAAAGAAGGTTTTTTTATAATTTTCCTAAAAAAAAATCTAAATTGTTTTATAAAAAAAAAATGAGAGAAACAATTAAAGCTTTAATGCGAAACGAAAGGGAATAAAAATGTTCGTTCTGCTAAGTGTTAAAAACGAATTTATTAAAGTGTTTAAAGTTGGAAGATATTTAGTTTTAAGGGTAGTTACAAAAAAACATATTTTACCTGTTTTTACAATTAGTATTTATGTACATATATAATATATTGTATTACACATTGTTTTTTTCTTGCGTTTACGGCGTTTGAGATTTCCCATAAGGTTTCTCAAAAATTTAAATTATTTAAAAAAAAAAGCAATTTGGAAGGCGCTAAATTCGACAGCGTTTTCTATATTTTTTTTTAATTTAAAATATGTGTTTTCGATTTTATTATAAATAAAAATGCCAATGAACTCTTTTATGAATGGTATATCATCAAGAGTTAAAAAATATATACATATTTGTTTGTGCTTCGTACCGTGTACTCTCTCAAGACACTCGTCTACCGTTTTGTTACAAACTTCTCGGCGTCTTTGAAAATACTTCTTTGATCGCAACGATAATAATTATTCTGCTATGCGTTTATTTGTACATAGCTTCCATTTCGGTCTCGGCCTTAAAATGTATTCAAAGTGCCTTTACCCGAAACCATCACTGTGTAATTTGCTTGGCTGACGTTTCGTTTACAAAATAATTCAAACGGTAAGCCTTTGGTTGGGTTACACTAAGACACTTAGATAGAGACCGGCTAGTGTAACATTATATTATAGGAACAGTGTTGTTGGTATAACGACCACCGACCGACCCGAGGATTATAATATTTAAACTCGGTCAATGTAAGTACAACATTTACCGTGACCGAGGTTACTTATACCCTTTGACCCTTTTGGCCGGTCATTTTTCACCGAACCAATCCCGGTGCATTTTTTAACAACAATAACTTCCGCCGTTTTACTTGGCCTACAATT